CTGCCTCCATCCCTCCCCTGCAGGCGGCGCCCGGGGCCCAGCGCCGGCGGCGGACACTTCCCCCGGGATGCTCCAACGTGGCCGAGGCGGGGGGCGCAGGGAAGGGGCCAAGGGGCCGTGCCAAGCCGAGCCCGCCGCCACCTAGAGAAGCCGGGACGGGCTGCGATCCCTAAGAGAAACCCTCGGCTGCCGTCTCGCTGCCCTCCCGCCGTCTTTCCCGGCGCTCGTCTCCACCCGCGGCCCGGCAGGGCGATGGTTTCTCCAGGAAGCGCTGGAGAATCCGCCGGCGCCGCTTCCTCCCTTCCGTGTCTGCTCCGTACCCGGTCCCCGCAGCCGCCGCTGGGGTGAGGGTCCTTTCAGGACTAAAATTTAAGTTTCTTTACGTCTTGTAAAAATGACTCTTTTCCTGGTTTATTAGTCTGTCTTTCCTTTATTCATATTTTCTGCTTCTTTTTTTTCCCTTCTTGAAAATACTAGGGAAATACGTTCTGATGGGAGGAAATGAGAGTGCGTTAGTGGCGCGCTGTAACATTAAACCGTAAAACTTTTTCCTTTTTAAAATCCTAACTCTGATCTCACTGCATTTACTGTATTTCTTCCTCTGCCTAGTGTTCAAAAATCGACATGTCTAGCAAAAAGGCAAAGACGAAGACCACCAAGAAGCGCCCTCAGCGCGCCACTTCCAATGTATTTGCCATGTTCGATCAGTCGCAGATCCAGGAATTCAAGGAGGCCTTCAACATGATCGACCAGAACAGGGATGGCTTCATTGACAAAGAGGACCTGCACGACATGCTCGCCTCCCTTGGTAATAATGTCCCTTTTTTCTGTTCATGCTTGCCAGGCAAATTTGTGCTGCAAAAATCAAAATACTGAGTTTGGGATATGAGAGGCGTGGTGTCTCAGTTTGTATTAACACTACTGACAGTACTTTTTCCGTTTGAAAACTAAACTGAGTATGAATCCCTTTATTTGTAGGAAAGAATCCAACGGATGAATACCTGGATGCCATGATGAATGAGGCTCCAGGCCCCATCAACTTCACCATGTTCCTCACTATGTTTGGTGAGAAGTTAAATGGCACTGACCCCGAGGATGTAATCAGGAATGCTTTTGCTTGCTTTGATGAAGAAGCAACAGGTATGTGGGTACAACTCGGCTGCTTGGCAGGGGTATGGCTGGGTTTTTATGTTTGTTATTTGGGTTTCTGAATGGTATGCCGATTTTTGGCACCTTTATAAATTAAATGTGAGATGGTAATCCTAGATGGCATATTCTGCTAAATTACTGAGTGAGAGTAAAATCTGTCTGGCTGTTCTGTGTCAGTACTGAGGACTAGTAGGACTGTCCTGTGAGGCTTTGAACAAGAGTGCTTTAAATGGACAGTGTGTACGTTCCTCAAAGTGTAAAACAAGATGTATTTGCTCTAAGATTAGGAACTCAAATCAGTAATGTGTGATTTTTTAATGGTGTTAAAAGGTGATAGGAAATCTGTCATACAACTGAGTTTGTCCCCCCTCTGCAGTGGGTCTGCAATGTGTCTAAATTCTTCAGATGTTTATTATTTTAAGACACACTGTCCAGACTTCATAAAGTCTTACAAACCCTCTCTGGCTGAGCATTTTTTATGGCTCTGAGGACAAATGTCATGCCCTCACCTGCAGCTCAGTTTGCTTTCAGATTGCAGGAAGGTCTGCAGTCTTAGTGGTCTAAAGATAAAAACCAGTGGGGTGTAGAAGGCAGAAATGACAGCTTGGACTGACTTGAAAAGCAAGATGAAGGGAAAGAGTAAAACACAGAACTCAGTTTTACTATATTGGACTTCCAAGATTGTGCCTGTAATCTTAAGGTTAGAGTTTATGCTTTTATGTATTATTCACCTAGGCTAAGATTCCTGAGAGGTGTATAGTAACTGGGGATGAATCCATAAGGCAATTCAGTGGAATTAGAGTATCAGTGGTTTGATATGTTGTGAACTTGTCTTCCTAGCTCACACTGAAATTATGTAATCTCTATACTAGAAATGACACTGCATCTACACCTTTCCTCACAACTATCCACCGCAATATTTTAATCTAACCAGTCAATATACACTCTGCACCTTTTGAAGGATATCCTTCCGTTTCAACAGCTATTTTCAGTCTGTGTATTTTTAGCACCTTTTGGTTTTTCAAAGTGCATCGCCTTCCTGCTGAGGTGTAGGTAAACAGGCTTTCAGTTGGTAAAGCCTTTTCAAATGTTAATCGACTTCCTCCCTCTCAAGGGAAATCTCTTTACCATTTCCTAGAGAAGGAAGTTTGTTACTAGGTTAATTATTTTCTCTCCACAGGTAGTCTGACTCACTGTGCTACAGGGTTTTTTTCTTTGTGCACCAAAACAAGAGCCTGTGAATTACAATATAAAGAAAATGGTTGGGCTACCAGTTCTTCGGAACAGAAATTTCTGTGTCTATATAATCAATAAGTTACTAGTTTGGGCACCCATATACTGATAAGATTGATTTTAATATCTCTCAGCTCTGTGTGGTAAATGTTTTAGTCTAGTCGTACCTGTTTTGTTGAGTTTTGATTCATAATAGTCAAAATGAAGTCTTCAAAGTAGCATGTGACGTATTTGTAGAATCCATGTCATGTTAATCCTTTATTTATTAATTTTATCCTCTTACTTGGCTTCTGATCAGTTTGTTCCTTTTAAAAATATACAAGAACATTTCCAGCTATATCAAATTCTTTTACTTTTTTTCTCATTTCATGGTCTCCACATGTGTGTTTGTTATGGGCCTGATTTTGTAGCTCTGTATCAGTATAGGTCTTTTGAAAGGGAGTAATACGAATCAGATCCTATAGCTGAGGATAAGGTAGTCATACTTGTTAGGTTTTACTTACATTTCCTATATTGCCAGCCTAGTTGGGTATGTTGCTTCAGCATTGCTATCATGTGTAGTGCTATGGAATTGATATAAAAGTTGGATCTTTCTGCACTTGGAGTATTTTTTATCTGGTCTTTGATCCTGCACTGTCATTTGCTGTGTGCTGCTTGCAACAGGCTGAATCTTAAGTTTTGCTTCATTTATTTGTTACTCGCCATCTCTGCTGAAGCTGTACGGGAGGGACAGGAGCCCTGTTTGCTTTACAATTTGTTGCTGATATAACTTGTGGCTTATTCCTGGTCTGGCAGCCCAGTTCAGTGTTTAAACAACTACCTAGTCAGACAGGAGCAATTAAGTCCTTGAGGCTAAACTTGCAGCACCAAAGGCCTTGCATTCTTTGAATACTAATCCTTATGTCATCTCTCATCACAGCTTGGTCTCTGTAGGACAGAGTCTCATCTGTTTAGCTGCCTTTTCTCTCTTCTTTATGCCCATCTTCAAAGACAGAACTCCAAGGTTTGATTGGAGTTTGATTGATGCCCATCCCAACCCGATTAGGATGGGCCTGGCTAACTGAACAGTCTCCCTATTTCTGAAGTAGAAGATTACTGCTAGCCTTCTTCATTTGCAGTGAGTATCCAAGGGCTGGTCTGCACTGGGATATGGTGCTGTTTTCATTAGCATATGTTGAAACACATTTTTTTCCCTTCCCCCAGCATATACCACCCCCGTGCTAATTTGTCATGCTCATTGACTGCTTTTGGGTTCCCTGATTCCCTGTTTGGTTTTGTCTCTCTGATGAACTCTTAACTTATGCAACTCTCTTTCCAAAGCAGCTCTTTTTTTATCACGTTCTAATTGAATCTACATTAGTTGATGTGGGTGTCTACATATGATTTCCAGCTGTTCCACAGAGTTTACTTTCTTACTCTTCTTTTTGGAACCTACTTTTACCTCGTTCTGTTACTGACATTTCTCCAACTAAAGTTCAGTAACCAATTTCTTTCTCAAATGAAACAGCTATTGTGCTGCTAAAGGTATGGCTGGAGTATACCCGCATTTAGCAGTTTCTGCATTCTACTGTCTGCCCTTTGTTATGCATAGTTCTTTTTTCATCTCTAAATTTTCCTGGAATTACTTGGCAACTGGTGGTTCTACCCATCTCTTGAAATAGAATTAGCAGAAGATACCTAGAAACTGCTCCTTTTTTATCTTTGTTAACTTTCTCAAAATCTTCTGCTCTTTTAGCATATAATAAGTAATATATCCTACTCTTTTTTTTTTACTGGGTTCTCCACCTTTAGCTCTCCACCTTTAGCTCTCCACCATAAACATTCCTCCTGCCTCCTGAGCTAACTTGCTCAGTCCTGTCTGAAAGTCTCGTCTGTTATAAACTACTTCCCTGGACACTTGCCAGGAGTTCACTGTATCCACATAAACTGCCTCCAGCAACAGTGTTGTGCAGCACTGAAGAGCCAGAGTGGTTATTTAGTCCCCAGGGGAAACTAGTTTATAGAGGATGTTCAAATATATCTAATTAAGGCAAGAAAAATATAGTTCCTTTAAGAGAACTGCTTATATAATGAAGACTAGCAGTCACAGGAACTTGTTTTTCCACTTTGAGCCGTTGAAGATCAGTAGATGGAAATAAGTGTTATTATACCACAGCAGGTCAGGCCCTGTCTTCAAAAATCCGTATGAAATGTGTTAAACTTCCTTTCGCTTTGCACTCAAGGAATTTATTTAGAATTCAGTTAAGGAAATTTGTTGGGGCTCTGTGAAAATGCAAATGTAATATATGACGGTGCTGCACTGGTTAATTGCCTGTCCCTGTGCATGTCTGTGCTGCTGCTTTTGGAGACCCAGCTAAGAGGCCTGGCCTCCCTTTTGTGTTTCTCTCTGCATGCCTCATTCCAGGGTTCATCCAAGAAGACTACCTGCGGGAGCTGCTGACCACGATGGGAGACAGGTTCACGGATGAAGAGGTGGATGAGCTGTACAGAGAGGCCCCCATCGACAAAAAGGGCAATTTCAACTACATCGAATTCACGCGCATCCTCAAACATGGAGCGAAAGACAAGGACGACTGAGCAAATCCCTGGATACATGCAGATAGCACCTTTGATTTTTATTTTTTTTTTTCCTTCTCACTAATTTTATTTCTCAGGATCTGTTTTTTCCATTCTTTTCTGGTTTTCTGGGACCATTTGCATACATTTTTAGCACTGCAGCTTCTTCCTCTGTAGATCCTAAGGCTGCTCAGGCACACCTGCACCTTTGTAATAAGACTGGAAAGTAGCAGGGAGAGAGAGAACAGCTTACAGTGATAGAGGTTGAAGGACAAAGATCAGAGAGTGTGGAGGCCAGTGTAAAAATGTCAGAGCTACTCATCCTAGCTAGATTAATTTTACATTTTTAATGATAATTTTTCATATAAATCACTGTCTACTAAGTGCATAATCAAAACTTTCATGCTAGAAGTATAATGTTTCTCTAATGATACCTGTAAATATTTTTGCAACTGTATGCAGTCATGTTGTTACCTATTTTTGCCTTAAAAATTATGTATAAGTCACTTAAGCATAGTGATGTTTGTACTTCAACAGCTGAGTATTTCACCTGCTACTGTGAGCATACACATGAAGAAATTCCCATCCTTCAAATTTTAGTGTATTGTAATTTAATAATTTCTGTCAGAGACTTGCACATTAAACATTTTAAATCTTATGGATGTAGTTGAGCATGTATTTTACCACCTCAGTCCCTCAATTTCTCGACATTGAGTACTATATTAATATCACTTTTAAAAAACTTATAATGTAAATCCCAGTGGTTTTTTTTTTAAACAAGGTATCATATTTGGGTAGGTTGCTTGAGTGATGCTTCTTACCAGATCTGTGGGCTGCTGATATTGAATTAATGACATTTCATTGCAACCATTTATTTCTTTCTCTTATCTTTCTGGTTTTTTAAAGCACAGTAGGGACAGGGCTGGATGAAGAAGAAAGTTGTGCTGTCTCTCCTTATCATTTTCTGTCTGAAAATATTATTCTTGGTTTTTAAATGAAATAATACATACTATATTTTTAAGACCTCTTGCTGTGAGTGGTGTTTTGGACGTGTGAGACTTGAGGCATTCCTTTTTGTTCCATTTCTCGTAGTTGTATCCTCTATAGTTTTTGTGGTATGGAAGGCACGGCAGATTTGCTACAGTGTTCTGAAGCAATTTTGCCATAATTGGAATGTTTGTGGTCCTGCGGTTTTTATGTCTTGAGAGAAAGGATGATCAGAGCTGCTTCTGACACTTGTAGGAATTACATCGTTAATCCCTTCAGAATTTACATTACAAAATTAAGAAAAATTATTTAGCTGGGAGCATTTTGCTGTTTCTTGGTAGGCTGCTGTTGCAAACTGAATTTTTAAGAAATGCCACCAGAAGACAGCGATGAAAGCTCTGAGGCTCCTGCTCTACCTCAGTCCCGGGGAGCTTTGACGAGGCGCGGGAGCTGCGCCCACAGGGACGACCTCATCCCTCTGTGGGACTGTGCGAAGCGCATGGAAAAGCAGGGAGGGGAGAAAGGCGCCGAGCAGAATCAGCAGAAATCCAAACGCGTCACAAATGTTTTCCCGGGGAAATACTTCCGTTCGGAGCGGGCAGAGATTAGAAACTCGAACAAGAACTTTGGTAACTATGGGTGAAATTAGTACCGATTTTGATGGCTCTGAAGGCGGCACCGGCTGGGGCCATGCCGGGAGCCACCAGGAGGTGGCAGCACAGCTCTCGGCACGGACGCCGCTGTGAGGGCGAGCGGCTCCCAGCCCCAGTGTTTGTTGGATTTGTTTGGGGTTTTTGGTTTGTTTGTTGTTTTAGGGGGGATTTTTAGTCCCAAAAAGCTCGTTTGCTGCATCGTGCATAGGGGGAAGACGTGCTCCGTTCCCACAGTAGTCCTGTTCCTGCCACAGCAAAGGTTAATGGTGCCAGGATTTTTCACATTGCAGCTCTTGCACGAGTTGAATTTTTGGCCCTTTAATCAAATTTGTTCATTACAGCAGAGAGTAAAACGAGGCCTCTGCAGGCCCTTGGTACCGGCCTACAAACACACATGTGGTGTATGTTTAGCAAAGATTGGGTTTCAAAAGCACTTATGGCCTTCCTTGTAACTCAAACCAGAGACACTGCTCCTGCATTTCACTTCTCAGTATCTCAGTGAGGGCTCTTCCTCTTTTGTTCAGATTGCCTTTGAAAAAAAAACTACCGCAAATTCAAATGTATATGTTTGCATAACTTTGTTTACATACGAAAGACTAAAACCTGTGATATAAACTAAACTGCTGGGGCTCAGAGTGAGGCAGCTGGTATTTACCTACAGCAATAAATGCCAGTTGTTAAACCCCAGTGCTTGCTTATGGGCCAGGGCTGTGTTGCTGTATAGCAACACCTATATGCCATTTGGCCTTGTGGTGACGAATTGTAGTTCATTAATACTATTGTTCTAAGCCTTGCCTTCGGCAGAATCCTGGTTTTACTCTCTTGACTTTAATGACATTTAATGTTCTCATAAAAACATGTCAGAGAGAATGATAAAAATGGATTTTTGGTGTGTAACTCAGAGGCCTGGGATTTGTCTTGAAAAGAAATTTTAAACCCCTGCTCGGATGCAGAGGGTGCCTTAAAGTCTGTGTGTGTCTGGAACAAGTAACACTGGTTTTATAGACTAATTGCAGTTCTTAGTCCTGGCAAAATCATTCTCAGTAAGAGCCACAGAATTTTCAAGTGTTCTCACTGAAGTGGGTCAGCAGAACATGAAGGCGTTTGTCGTGGGATGTCTTTCTCCTTTTATTTTTGTTATTAATTCAGCTGTTTTGTAGATAGGTCACTTGAGTGGAGGGCGGGAACAATGTGGCCTTGAATCCTCTCAGCTAGAAGGGAGAATTAAAAGTAGGTCTGCAACATTCAGGCTGAATGTTAAACCACTGAACAATTGAATAAGGGAGGGTGGAACCATCACAAGCAGCTGTGTTTCTTATTGTGCCTTCTTTTTTCTTTTTTTTTTTCTTTGGCAAATGAAGGAGCTTAGGCAGTGATCTCAGGAGAAGGAATAAAAGAGATCCATTCTACCTCGAGAGGACTCTTTCCTGCTCTTCAAGGTGAAGTTCCCAAAATCCATGACTCATAAGTGGGGCTGGGATGCTTGTTTCCTGTGGTTGCAGGGCAACAGAGCTGAACCCTAAATGAGTTTTAGCTTATAAACCGTTTCCTCTCCAGGACTGTTTGTGAGAAGTAGTGCCTTGCCAGGGAACTGTCTCACACATCCTGTATCTGGCTTAACACCCCCCACAAACTCCTGCCAGTGTAGGTAATAACTTGTAAAGGTTCTCGCTGTCTTTACTCTGAATGTCGTGCTTTGTAAGCTGCTGTGGCTCAGCACCTGATTATCCTTGAGCAACTCGGCTCTCTCCATACTGGAGCAGTCAATTTGTCAGCTGGGCTGTCCCTACATGTGAATTACAGCCCCAGCTCCTGTGGAAAGGGCAGTGGTGACTCCTTACCTCCTCTTCAGTATTTCATGCTGATGAGACTCAGCAGATCCTTACTCAATACCCTTGTTTTAATAGTTACTGATTTTAGCACCTAACCCCCCTGTCTGGGGAGACAGCAGCATCTGTCAGTGTGGCAGGCAGGGCTCACTGTGGGTAGTAGCAGTGGTGTCGAGCATTCTTCATTTAGATACCAAGTAGCCGGTATTTAATACAGCAACGTCCAAATGTCAAATAGAACGGTGCTTGTTCTAAAAACCGCCGAGGTCTGGAGAGAATTCCTGTCACCAGGGTGGTGGTGTCTAAATCCTAAGCACTCGGTCTGACCTTTGTGGACGGTTTCCTAGCGGCAGGCAGGGCTTGTTCTGCTATTCAAATAACCACAGCTAACTGCTGACTCATCTCTGGTTCCACTGGGCACATCCCAGTGCTCAAATATAAAAATTGTTTCAGTAGCACTCTTGAGCTGTGAAAGGCAAACCTAACCAGAGTTCCTATGTGATCATCGTGAGATTAGAGGTGTCATGCAAATGGTGTAATTAAAAACATAAAAAAGCATTCATATGACTTTAATAGGGATGCATACCAGTCCCAGCAGGCCTCTTTCACTGAGTAGGTAAGACTTGCAAATTAAAGATACTTGCAGCTGGAAACTTCCTTTTCAAATAACTGCAGGTCACTGTGACATTGGAAATGGTTGCAAAAAGCTACAGTGAGACCACAGTCATGGCACGCTGCCCCCTCCCACACACATGCTCAAGATTTCCTGGGAAATTTGCTCAGCTCCATGCCCCACAACCCTAGCAAGCTTCAAAGCTACAGGGCTGGAGTTAGTTAAAAGGAGAGTTGACAAGACTCATGTTAGTAAGATAAGCTTATGAACTTTGTGATTCATTTTTGGAAGAGAATTAAATGGAACAAAATTACTTGCAGTTAGTACTTGCCTGTTTATTTCTTTCACTAATTCAGGGGATAAAGTATTGTATCTTTATTAGAACCTGAGATATATGTTGTGCAAAAGACAAGTTATAACACTATTACTGCTATCCTGTTAGCAAAGAGGGGAACTTGGTCATGAATCTAAATCCTCCCACTTTGTCCACCCCCTTCTTATCTGCTAATTAAAAAAATAATAGTAAAAAGGTAGCAATGCAATTTTCAATTGTCAGAAGACAGCATTTCTTTCAGACTTTGAATTTTTTGTAACCTAATTGAATACAACCTTATAACTTAACCAATAATAACTATTTCTTCTGCTGTAGAAAGTCTAGGTATGCAAACTGTTGTTAGTGATGTTTTTTAGCATATCCATCTATTCCATGGCCACTTTGCCCAGGTGGGGCACAGAACAGCAGCACTGCTACAAATGTATTTGGAGGTTCTCTACTACACACAGACCTAAGAGAAAGAAGGAGTCATTAAACTTGTACAAAATGATGAGTAAGGAGTACACTGCAAAAATGAAGAATTCTGATTCATTTGCTAGAAGATGGGGCTATCTGCACCTGAAAGAGGAGGATGAACTGTTGCCATGAAGTACTAGTTACAACAGCGTGATAAGCAGAAAACCCACCTGATAACAGCTGCAGCTGAATTTGGAAGCAGATTGCAATGTGGATGGGACAGTAATCAGAAGACAGTGATGACACTTGTTAAAAATATTTGGTTCTACTCTGTTCCTGTTGCAAAGAATGCAGCCTGCTGACCCTGAAATTTTCTGTCCTAAGCTCTGGACACAGATTTGGGGTATCTGAGTAGCCATCTAAACTAATGAATATTAAAATACCAGAAATGAAGATAGGGGGCAAGGCACTCAAGCATTTCCTGATGCAGCTGATCAGAGATACGACTTTCTAGCTGAGCTTCCAGTAGTCAGACTTCTCCAGAGGCTGGACAGCAGTGCCCAGTCAACAATTTATGTAGCCCCATGCTTTGGCAGCTGACAGCAGCTTTTCCAGAGTTCTGTTTTCTGTTTGATGTTTGACTCCTCTCCTCCCCTCCCCTCCCATCCTTTGTGCAAGCACTTAAATGCCTTCCACATGTCAGGGGCCTGCATCTACCCTCTCTGTTGCAAGCCTTACATATGCTGAAGGGTTAAGACCTTCAAGCAAGAAAGGCATTCCCTTCCCTGCTTTGCGTACCACACCTTGGGCCTCACTTTGAGATAAGATTCAAAGCAGCTAATAAGTTGTAAGGCAAGGTTTGCAAATTTTGATGAGTAAAACTTCACTCCAGGATTAAAGAGTATTTCCGTGGCAGCTTTTAAAATGCTGGCAAGTATCTAAATGGGATGGCAGTACCTCAGACATTTCAGGCTCTGGGGTAAAAGTGCAGATCAGACTCTTGTGCACATCTCTGGATGCACAACACATGACAAAACTGTCCTCTGAGGCAGTGGGTGAGCCTCTGGGGAGAGGAGGAGACTTTTGGCTGATGCTCTTACTAGTGATGCCTGGAAGATCTTGCACTATGTCAGGTTTTCAGAGTTGGTAATTCTGTCTCTTCGACTCTTGATCTCAAGAATTGCTATGAAAGAGCAAGTATCAAGTAAAAGGGTGCTGACTGCTTATTTTCACACTACTTTCCCAACTCGAAGTGTTATTTACACCTCTGTGATTGACTGAATTATTCCTACCTAGGACAGATTTTTTGTTCACACACACCCTTTGCAGGAATGTTTTTGTTACCTACCCGTGGTTTCTTAAGCGACTATAAAGCAAGGAAAGCATTTGGGAGATGCTGTTATTATGAACAAGTTAGGGTGTGTTTATTTTAGTTATTCTCCTTACAATTCCTCCATGCTTCCCTTAAGCCTATTAACAGACAATGTTTCTACAGGCAAAGTATACTGAATTCAGTGAGGCTCACCTAAAAAGGCCATTTCAGCAAAATTGTTCAAGTTTCCAATATTTATCTTTACATACCAATACATACTTCTGGCTCATTTCTTAACTCTGCTGTTCTTTGCTTTGGGGCTGGTTGGGGGGGGGTGGTGGTTGGGTTTTTTATTTTTAAGGTACAATTGCTTAAGTTTTAGCCTCTAATTACTGTTACATTAATGACTTGCCTATACAACTTGCCCCATTTTGTCTCTGATACAGTTGAAATTTTCATTTCGAGAATTTCCTTGCATTTCTCTGCTGTATGCTGTTGGTGTCAGACACCTGTGACACCTGGGCATGTTCTTACATGGGCCACAAAAGTTCATTCAGAGCTTTTGTTCCCAGAAGCTATGGAGAAAAGCACTGTATGAAATCTGTTTAGAACAGAAGTTGGTTGGGGGGTAGGAGGTGAAAATTTTATCTCTGAAAATAAAAGCAATGTGGCATGAAGGTATTTGTAATATGGGTTCCTTTTAATGAATCTTAGCCACTTAGTTGACTGAAAACATTAAATCGGTGTTTCCCTAAAGTAAGTAATTAACTTTCAACACAGAAAATTAAATTGCCTAAGATTATTACACAGCTATCTGAACAATACTTCCAGTGTCTTGTTGCTTTTATTGCTTTGTTGCCCCTGGCATTTTGTGTGTAATCATCCAGACACCATGAAACATATTGATTAAATAATTTGGGGCACTTTGCACAGTACAGTCTTGTTTTATATAACCTTATGCAATAAGTTATTACTCTAGCCAAGTACTAAGTAAGAGCAGAGTTAAGAGAGAAACTTTGGGCAATGCCAGTCTGTCCTGTCATCCATTGTCAGAAGTAGTTTGGACTCCTGAAACAAGCTACATCTTTACTGACAGACTCCTGAGTTGACTTTAGTAGATATTTTTATATAAGGCTGAGCATATTTCCTCTTAAAAAACTGTTTGAAGAGCATCTTCTGTGCCAATGCTCCCAGAGCTCCAGAGAGGTGAGCAGTTTTCTTGTTTATACATTGTCAAGCACAATGGGGATTGATGTGTGAGTGGGAAAATTAAATGTCTTACGGCATTTCCATGATAAAAGTAATAAGCACTTTTTTAATATATGTGACAAAAGCTATTTTTAAAGAGCACTGGGCCCTCTCTAACTCATTGGAACATCAGTTTCACCTCTGGCTTGGCAAGGCTGATTTAGCAGCTTTCTGCTAGAAAGGTTCTAGATGACAAGTGGCAACCAAAATATTTCAAGGCTGCCTTATCCTCTCTTATCCTACAGCCTAATGACAAAAGGAGACAATTGCACCCTATTTGCTAACTACACGTTGTGCTTTAATCTTGCATTTTGACTTATGTTGTCATGAAGCTGCTAATCATCATTCTGTGATGCTGTCTGCACAGCCCCTCCGCACAACTCTGGCCTGCATTACATGGGCATGGCACCACAAAAGGGCAAGCACAAACACTGGCACCTGTCAGTAACTGCTGCTTAGAGGGAAGTTGTCCCTTTTGCCAGCCAGTGGAACATCAGAACTCCAGGCCACTAAATAAATGCTATTATACATCATCTAGGCACCATGTGGTCTGCATGCTCTGAGTGTAGCTGAGCCACAGCCCCCCAGGCAGTTGGGTGAGAGACCTGGCTTCAGCCTTAGTAGCTGTCTGCTTCAGCAGCAGTAAGGCTTCCACGCTGCTATGCTCTGAAGAAAGCCTCTCATAGAGTACCAGATGGCTTCTGTTCCCCTGTAGAAATGCTGAAGTTTCTGCTGACCCTTCTGGGCATAGGTGAATACATTCCCTTCCAGGGTACAGCTCTGCACCCTGGGGTATCTGCAGCTCTGATGCTCCCTCACAGAACTTGTCTTCTACTCTGGTAACTGAAACTGTGGCTTAAATCATCTCATCTCATCTCATCTCATCTCATCTCATCTCATCTCATCTCATGCAGCTTTTATTACTTCTTGCAAAAGAAGCCCACTCTGCACTGGAGTCTTACACCATGAATGGAAGAACTGGCACATGTGCATAGCTGGAGGTGACTGGGTTAAATGTGTCAGCAGGCTGAGCCCTTCCATGGAGGGAAAGAGGAAATGAGACCTGAACCAATTCCTAGAGCAGCACAAATTAGTGCTTAGAGCTACTAAGAGCCCTCAGAAAGGTTCCCAGAGGACTTCACACTTAACCCAGCTAATTGTAGCTACATGTGGCTACAACATGAATCATGCAGGTGAAAGTAGTACTGAAGACTCAGCAAGACTGGTTTTATAAGCCCAGGAACTCAGCTCAACTACTAGTCCATTATTTTATTTACCTTACTGCTAAGACACCTGCAGTCCCTGCACTAACAGCTAGCCAGAGCAGAGCATCCAATTGCCATTTGAAACACTGGGACTGGGACAAGCTGTGTTGGCCAAACCCTAGCCTACATCCATACTAGTAAATCCAGTATGTGTACAAGTTTGACAGGGAAATTTAGCTCTTTGACTGCAACTCACTTTTTAACAAGTGAAGATCTGTTTCTATCCCAAAGTGTTTGAAAGGTACTTCTGTTTTTCAGAACATGAGATAATTACAGTAACAAATTACTTCATCATCTACCAATAATGTCTTGTAAGCATGGATACATGGGTTTTGCAAAGGAACTTAAAACTTTCAGGTTTCTTAGTGAACTTAGCCTTCAAAGTCTTAACAGAGTGAACTGTACTTTCCTTGTCCTAACTACTTACATGTCGGATTGTCTGGAGTGGTCTTTTAATTTTATTTTTTCTAGAAGACTCACAACATATCTAATGCACTGGGCTGAGCTGAACAGCTTGATTGTTATTTCCAACCTAAAAGCCACATTAGTTCTACAACGTGATGATGTCTTTGGGCCTAACTTGTGTCCTGCTCACCTAAAGCCATATTAGTTCTACAATGTGATGATGTCTTTGGGTCTAACTTGTGTGCTGCTCCTTCAGAGCCTGCATCCAGCAATATGCTGAATGTGTTTAGCAAGGGTGGATAGCATGGAGCTAAGCACAAGCTCAGTGACATCTTACTGATCACAACTGATGAAAATCATGCCTTTTGCATTTCAGCTCAGTAGCTAGAGGTTGCATATGGCAAGTTGAGACTTGACTGCAATTTTCTTTTGAGCCTGAGAAGGCTCAAGGATCTTGCAGCAAGAGCTCTTTTACAAGGAGAGCTTTTTCTACTGTTCCTAGTGAAACTGGACTTTTAAGAGAGGGTGGAATTCACTGAGAAAAAGGAAAAGACAGAAAGAGACAGTATATGTGCCTGGCTCTGAAACTCAAAAGTTTCTGGGGAACTAGGGCTCCTTCACTGTAAGGCTGAGAGACTGAACTCTTTGGGATAATAATGGCAAACCATTTCCCCCATTTGTGGAGCTGCCAGAGTGCTTTGTTGAAATGGAGGAGGTGAGCTTTTGTGCGTGTAATGGCTAACCTCTGATCTGATAAGGCAGAGGGTGAATGATGTGTGATAGGAGAGGGATACTGTGGAGATGATGGTGCCTCTTGTCACGGTAAGCCATCCTCCCTTGCACAAACCACTAGGTCGTGGGGCTCCCCTCCCCCCACCCCCGGGGACATTCACGTGTGGCCTGAGGGTGTTCATCTCTGTTGATGGGCCATAAGTGACTCAATTGCCTGGTGTGATGGGCACCTGTATTGTCTTAGAAAGTGTGAAGGACTCCCGAAGTGTCTCATGATCCACATTAATACATCATCCAGTGTGAAGCTACCCACCCGGGAGAGGTGCCTGGGCATTATCTGAACAGGAATATAAGCCCAACAGAGGCTGTGTTCTGTGGATTTCCCCAGGACTGTCCCTTCCACCTGATGGATCCAGTCTGCAGACGTCACTTTGACCAAGACTGAGACCATGACACATTGAAATTACAACAACCAAATCTCTTCGAGAGGCCTACGGTGATGGTGAACTGCAGATGGAAACTTCATAATGCTTCATTAGTCATTATGGCAGTTCCTAACAGAGGGTCTGAGTTATTCGGGATTATTGCATTTTAAATATATCCTGCTTCAAGGAATACATTATTCTCATTTGTGGAGGTCTGTTGTACAAATAGATGTTACGATGGGATGTCATCCAAAGGGACCTTGACAGGCTTGAAAGGTGGGTCCACATGAACTTCATGAAGCTCAATGAGGACAAACGCAAGATCCTGCACTTGGGTCAATTCCAGGCACAAATACAGGCAGGGGACCAAGTGGAATGGGAGCAGTCCTCAGCAGAAAGACTTGGATGTGTTGGCTGACATGCCCTAGCAGTCCAGAAAGCCACCTTTGTCTAGGCTCCATCAAAAGCAGCATGGCCACCAGGTCAAGGGAGGTGATTCTCTCCCTCTATTCTGGTCTTGTGTGACTACACCTGGAGTGCTGCATCCAGCTCTGCGTCCTCAGCACAGGAAATATATGGACCTGTTGGAGCAGGTCCAGAGGAAGACCATGAAGATTATCAGAATGTTGGAATACCTCTTATGAGAACAGGTTGGTAGAGCTGGTGCTATTCTGCCTGGAGAAGAGAAGGCTCTAGGGAGCCTTACAGCACCTTCCAGCATCCAAAGGGGGTCTGCAACAGGGTCTTTTTACAAGGGCATAGGACAAGGGGGAACAGATTGAAACCGAAGGGAGAGTAGGTTTAGAAATTAGGTAGAAATTCTTTACTGTGAGGGTGGTGACACACTGGAACATGTTGCCCAGAGAAGGCCCATCCCTGAAAGTGTTCAGGTTGGAGGCTCTGAGCAATCTGGTCTAGAGAATGGTGTCCTTGCTCATGGCAGGGAGGTTGGAACTAGAAGATCTTTAAGGCTTCTTCCAACCCAGACCAGTCTATGATTTTATAACTGGGGAAGCAAATTTACATCAAAAATTCTCCCACTGGGGCAGGGTTACAAGGCAAATCTGGACCTGCAATTCTTGGTAAAACTCCAGCAAAAGTACAGCTCTTACAAGTTCTCTGTCTTGACCTGCTCCCTCTTCAAACAGTCCTTAAACATTCAAAAGGAAGATGGCCAAAGTCCTATACAGCAGGTACAGCCTAGGCCTATGACACGTGGAAAGTTGTGGATGAGCTCCTCAGACTCCTAGAATGGTCTTCAGTGCCAAAGCACTTGAAGCAATGCTTTAATCCCAATTTAGAGGATTAGCATTTGTCAAGCCTAAATGACTGTAAAAAACTGGGAGAGAGAGAGAGCGGTACATAGGAGAATACCAAATCTGTGCTACGCATTGTGCCTGCTTCTGCTCAGGTTCCTGCCTGACCTCACCCTCAGAAAACATTATTGTCATTTTTTTGTCAGTCTTTTCCCTCTCAAGAGAGCTGTTCTGTCACAGCCCAAGCATACCAAGCATACACACAGGACTCCATACCTTTAAGTAATGCAGTGTTTCCATGCATGGCTTTTCCCTGCCCTCAACACACCAGCCAGAGTGTCTCTGGTACAGCACTAATTTGAGAGGGACATTTTCAATACACTCCAATTCTATCAGCTTACCATAAGAGAGAATGACAGGACAGTGGGAAAGGGGTTTACAAGTGCCTGAGTGAGTGAAGTCATGTATTGACCCTGTACCATTTTTTCCAGATGTGATACTTAGGGTTTGTAATGTTGCAGTAGGCTGTGGAGGTCCTCTGTCAATGTTTTTACAGTGTACTAGGGGAGAATTCATTGGTCCCACCCCAGATCCTGGCAGAAACAGCATGGGTATGGCAAGTCATGAAAGTGAATTGGCTCTGGCTCTACATTTGTGGTTCCATTGATGGCAAGGAATTGACCCAGTGGTTCACTCTCCAGTGTACAAGTTGTGCAACAAGCCTGCTTGTCTGCAATTCTCCTTCTTTTAAATTGTCTAGAATTAGTAAATTGAGCCTATTTTGCGCTCCACATAGATCTACCTTCAGGTGTCTGAACCAGGCAGCCCTTTCCATATCTGCTGCATCCCAATACATCCTGCATTTAGCTTTGGTGCTATGCAAGTCAGCACATTCCCCTTCCCCTGGCACTCTTCTGCACAAGCCTGCCTCTGCTCAGCTTTCTAAGCCAATTTCAGCAATGTCAGCCTATGGCTTTCAAGGCCCAGTTTCTATCTAAGCTCTGTGAACCCACAGACCTGCACAAGACAATCTGTTCACAGCTCCTGATCTAGCCCAAGCAGTGAGAATATACCCAGCTGAAATTTTTATTGGTGCAAGCTGTCATAGAATCATCAAACTGTTACTGTTGGAAGAGACCTCAAAGACCCTCAAATCCAATTGCTAACCCAGCCACGGTCATATTCAGAAATAAACCATGTCCCCAAGTACTATGCTCACAGGTTTTTGAACACTTCCAGGGATGGTGATTCTACCACTTCCTTGGGCAGCCTATTCCAATGCCTAACTAGCCTTTCAGTGAAGAATTTCTTCCTAATATCCAATCTAAGCCTTCCCTGGTGCAACTTGAGGCTATGCCCTCTTGTCCTGTTATTACCTCAGAGAAAAGGCCAATCCCCACCTGGCTACAACCTCCTTTGAGGCAGTTGTGGAGAGCAATGAAGTCACCCCTGAGCCTCTTTTCATGATTGCAGAGGAGAAAGAATTAGGACCAACCATCACAGTCTGATATGACATTTCTGGGCTGCCATGGAAAAGGGATTATGGTACTATAAGGGAATCACTATGGACTAGCAAGGAAGACATCTGCATAAATAGTACATAACCAATAATCAGTACAGAAGGCAATACCACGTTCAAGAACACATAAAAACTATCAAAAGAAAGCATTAGTAATAGGCTATTAATTACCCACTGTGAAATACTAACTAAAAGTGAAATTGGTTTCAACTGTATTTTGTGAAAACCCTAGAAAGATGAAACAAAGGTGCTTTCATGGTTTGCTTGCTGAAAAGGCAGCTTTTGAGAATCAACAGGAAGCAGTTGGACTTCAACATGAAAGGAGCAATTGATCAGAGGAAAGAGCAGAGGGGCTCCCACTACAGAGCAAGCTGAGGAATTCTGTGCAATGGGCAATAATAGCGATGATGGAGAGCCCAGACCAAATGTTATAGGAGGGGCTCTTAAGTGACAGGAAGGCATAAGGGTCTTCTGGGATGAGTCAGAAGGAGGCAAAATAATAGTAGTAGAAGTTGAGGGGTAGGGGTTGAAGGAAGGAGAGAGTCTAATATAATGATGAAAATTCTTTGCATGTGGATCGGCGAAAAGGCCAAATGGGGAAGACAAGCCAAGTAGAAGAAGTTACTGGTATTGGAAAGGGAGCTGGAATTATTAGTGTCTTCTGATAGCTGTGAATGACAGAAATTAGCGGGCTGCTGAGAGCAGCAGAGGGTAATGTGGCATTAGTATATGTGACAGATGAGGAAAGTTATTATCTTCATATTTTCTACCTGAGGATCTCAAATTACTTTATGCTGCAATACCTTGAGCCTTGGAGAAAGTTTGTGGTCTTGAAAGGAGCTACCAATCAGCCAAATATAACTGTTCAGGTTCATAATGGCTATATGGCTAGCAAGGGACTGAGCAGATGGTAAAACCTGGCTGAAATAGGAACAGTATATTTGGAAAGGCCACTGGCCACTTTCTGAGAGTGAGATGATGGAAAAACATCCAGAACACAGGAACATCAGGTAGCTGAGCCCATGAGTGATTTTGGGAGACAATCAAGAGAACCATTCCCAGCCAGGGCAAGAACAGAACTGACAGTATTGGAGTGCAATCAAACTGAGGCAAAAAACCCACAAAAGAAAATTCAGATTAAATCACAGGTAATTTCTTCTGATTTGCTTCATTGAAAAGTTTACTTAGCATTTCATGTGGAAATCAAGAGTTTACATTCATTATACTCCTCTGTGGTTTTAGCAATGTAACCCCAGAACTCTGACAGCCATTTTAAAGAAAAAATAGGAAACTTCATGGAAGCCAGAAGTTCTGCTATCCATATGGCTGGAGTAACCCATTTCAGATGTGTATACAAGAAACATGCACAAAAAAATAAAATAACACTTTCAAGTTAAAATTTTGCTGTCTTCTGTGCCCTGCTGCTTTTTCTATCTAGAAAACAGTTGTATAGATCAAGCCCTCTCTTTTCCCTCTAATGAGAACTATCCTTGTGTGCTGCCACCCGTGGGAGAGAGGATGAAGGCAAGGAGAGCTAAAGGCAAAGGTGTGTGGCGAAAGAAGGCATTATCAACTGAAGGGTGCCAGCAGATAAGAAGAGGAAGGGAGGAACAGCTCATGGAGCTCATAGTTTGGCAGTGCTGCACAGGGCACGGCTCCAGGGGAGGGACCAGGTAAGCACACACGGGCTGTGGCCAGGACAGCTGGGTTGGGAAGTAGCCACAAACTCCTGCAGCTGGTGAGAGAAGGTGACAGGCTCCCCTGGCAGGGATGGCACTCCCCTGTTTTTAATTTCTTCTCACTTTGCCTCTTGAATTTTTCGAAGCAGTATGTCATCATTACTCACACCCGATTCATTCCTACCCTGGAAGTGACTCTACAAATTTCACTTCAGATGTTAACTGTTTGGACACAAATGTGTCATACAGAACACTGAAAGGTAAAATTGTGACATGAAAGAGGCGGGATAAATATTTTGTACATCAAAGAGTTTCCTGTGTATAAGTTTTATTGAGGAAGGCTGTGTGGCAACATCACGACACGACTAAGACCAGGTCCTTGGGTGCTGGCTAGCACTGTTTATTATCCTGCTTGGGCTTTCAGAGGAAGAGAGGTCCTACAGCAGCTATTCAGAAGATAAACAACCAAGTCCATAAACAGTAGTTCTCAGGTGGCACCCAGATCTGGATCAGGAACTGCCTGTCAGCATCTGTGCCCAGAGGACCTAGCACAGTGGGGCTTCAACAGAATTCCTCCTCCTTCCTGAATGGCTGAAAATATTGGACTCCACGGGCTCTGCTGGCTTCCTGCTCCCTTCCGCATTCCACATAAGAATAGGAATCATCCTGAGAGAAAATTAGTTATGTAGGCTGCTATTGCTGCCCTTCAGAGAAGAGAAACAAGCTAAGAAGCCACATAGAAGCTAAAATTAAAACTCAGGAGTTTCTGGCTGGGTGCCCTCTGGAGCTTGGATCACTCATTCTGATTAGGAAGAAAAACATTTAATATACATTGAAATATTTTTGGCAAGAAGAGGGAAAAAATATGCTATATGATGAATATGGTTTTAATTACACTTTGAAAGTTTGGCTAGAGTGGAACAGTAGCAGCAAAATAGTTTGCTGTTTAAGCTATTCCCCTCACAAACTTCAAATAAGGCTTTTTTCTTCAGCTAAATATTAAGATGACATTTCACTACAAGTTAAATCAACTCCCGAAGCTGCTCTCTCTTTACTAAGAAAACTTTTGACTTGCACATTAAAACAATGATGGGTAAAAATAATCTTGATCAGTCAGTCATGGATCCTCTCCTCCTGTTTATTCAGATGTCAGCCCAGTATCTTTTCCTTTCCTCATTACAACCATCACTTTAATGCAGGACCTCTTTAATGGTGACTGATAAATGGGAACAGAGAAAGAAAAGGTACTTTTCCAAGGAATTATTGCACAGCATTAGCACTGCAGCAAGCACTCAGTGTTATAATGTGTGCCGCAAAAGCCATATAGCTGAAATTATTTGCAGATTTCCGTTTTCAATTCCAATTTCACGTACTTGAGATGTCCCATTTGTGGTATGAGTCTAAAGAAGAAATATTTCTCTTCCTTTTGTTTAAAAATTATTTATCTCTCAGACTGGAAGTATTTTGTTGCTGTCAGAGTTCCTGCTGTTCTTTAATCAATGGATGTCATGGATAACAGGCTGGACAGAACTCTAGAATACCATTTATTCTGGTGAAGGTCTCTGAACTTCAGAAAAAGAACTGGCAAAATGGGGTTCCAAATACTGGACTTGGACTGTTCCTATTTGGTCAGGATATGAGCAGTTTTCCCTTTTTATTTTCATTCTCACCCTGGGGGTTTGGTTTCTTAGTCATTCTTTTATACATGCAGCAGGAAAAACATGTTACTTACCAAATCACTCTGACTCACTAAGTCCCGTCAGTTCAAGGCCTCATCTATTTTACATCTGACCAATCTCACTGGAGTCCTATTTCATGGCATAGCTAAAAGCTCCTCTTTCATTACAAGTCACGACCATGGCAACAATCCAGTTGCATGATTTGGCAGACTGGATCTCCTGATAAAATTAACATGATCTTATAGCTATGAGTACATATTTGCATCTCCAAAGCAGAGAAAATAATGTACAAGGTAAATATTAATGTTGCTGGATGCACTGTACAGCAAAGACCAAAGTACTGAACACAGAATTTGCTTTACCTTTCCACAGACATATAGTTTAAAAACTTGGAGCACCAAGGTAATCTTTAATACATCCACCATTTCTGGGCAAAACTTTAATATATTACACTGCCATTCTACTAAATTAGTATTCTGAACCTAGGCAAAGACTTCTACAACCTTTATTCAAAAGTTTTCCATCAAAATCCTGTTGGTGGTGGGCAGCTAATTATCTTTCTAAGGAGATTAGTGTTCTTTAATAAATCCAAAGATTTTTTTTCACATAAAATTGAAACAGCCATATCGAGCCTGGTACTTGGGAAACATACTTGATTAAACAGGAATCTTTTGTGAGTGTCGCTTTCATGGAATCATAGGACTATGGAATGTTTTGAGAGGATTGGGACTTTTGAAGGTAGAATCATAGAGCTGTCAAGCTTAGAAAAGACCTTTAAGACCATCAAGTGCAACCATCAGCCTAGTACCGTCATAATGTTCACCATTAAATAAAGTCCTCAAATGTCACAACCACACATTATTAAACACATCAGGGATGGTGACTCCACCACTTCCCTGGGTAGGCGGTTCCAGTGCTTTACAACCCTCTCCATGAAACGTGCTTTTCTAATACCTGATCTAAACCTCTCCAGGTCATCTAGTCCAACATCTTCAGCAGGACATCTCCAGCTTTCTGATCTGACCCTGCAACCAGGATATCAGGACACACTAAATCAGAAGTCCTCTTCTGCGTGGAGCTTGTGCTCCCCTTCAGCATTGCCTCATGGCTCTGGTCCTCACATCACATCAGCGACCTTCCCTTCCACATCCAGATAAAGCACAGTGGTCACAAGCTTCACCCTGGACCCTTAAGCTCAATATTAGGGAAGACCTCAGTATAGAGCAGGGAACTCAAGAAAACTGATGTCCTGAATCTGTTGCAGTCCCACGGGACTGGACTCATCTCAGAAACTACTGATGAGGTTGCTGGTGGAGCTAGCTGTGCTATGAAAAGTGGACACACATCTCAGATGGGGTGCTGCTGAATTTGTTGCTTTGGCTGCTCCAGCAGAGCCTCCTACATCACCACTGAATGCAAAGCATCCCACCAGGGAATGTAAAAACTTCCACACCCACCAGGCCCAGCACTCAGTGTAGGTCTGTAGAGAAGAGCCATATGCCTGTGAGACCTGTCACGGTGACCGAGTCAACAGTTCAGACCCCATTATCCTCTCTCCCCTCCGGCAAGTGAAGAAAATCCCCCCTGTTGAGATGCCACTGTTGCTTTGCCCTTCTCACAGGGGAGAAACCACTGACAAGATCATTCCTTTTGTGGAGGAGATCCCAGTATGCCCAGAGAAGGGGATGCCCTGGCCAGGGGAGAACACTGCTTGTAAGGTTCTACCTTGTATGCAAAAGGTTTGCTGTTAGTTTGTAGACAGTTTCAGCCCCCTTCCCCAAATATTTTCCTGAGCAATACCCAACCTTCCTGCCCACCCTCTGTAAAGCTGTTCCTGCTCAGAGGCAGGGATAACTGAGACTCCTCTCAAAGACTGTCCTAACTTTACTCTGCTGTTGCCAAGACAAGATAAAAATACCTGAAATTCAAAACATTAAATCAGGCCTAAACTTCAACCATACTTGTTTTAAAACATTTCTAGAAAAAAAGACAAGTAGAAGAAGCATGCAGTATTTGTCAGCATAAACTGAAATAAGCACTGAAAAGAGAATTGTGGAAAAATACCTTGTACTTGCTGTGGTTTAGGCCACATCCTGTTTTAATTCAACACATCTAAAACAATGTCACTAAATCCACTTTGCATTTACCCCAAATAACTGAACAAATGAAAACCTGGAATGAAATTGAACTAGATTTTAAATTAATTTTTAGGCTTAGTAGCACAGATGAAGGTATAATCCTGAAAACTGCTTCCTCTTCCTTCATGCCACCCTGCATTTTAAGCATACCCAGACAATGAAATTATTGCAGAGCTGGGCAGTTCCTTAGTTACAGAAACATAGTGTTGAAAGGCATCAATTTGTGCTTTGATTCTTCAGGGGTTACTTACTTACTTCAGTAGCAGTCTGAATTGTAGCAGTTGGTTTTTCTCTGGAGAGCTCCTTGCAGCCCTCAGATCCATCAGGTGATATTGCTCTGGCTAGTGAGCAAGTACTGCCCCGCGGTTTTCTCCAAAAAGTTTGCTCAGCTTCCCACTGCCTGCCAAGACCTGAATAAAGCAATTACTTTACTGAGCTTCTGTCCATGCTGTAAAACCTCTACATCTTCCTTACTTCCAGAGTCTATAAAAAAATCCTACTGGAAGCAAAACTCCCCCAACTGTTAAATCCTTCCCTTCAGAGAGGAAGGAGTATGGTGGTGTCCACTAAATTTACTGTGATTATATCTATAGTTGAAGTGAACACAGGTTTTTTTCTTGCCACATTTTCAGGAAGCATCTAGGAATAAGTGTATCTTTTTTAGGAACAAGAACCTAAAAATCTACAAATAGTTATTTAGATCTGTTTATTCCCTGAGAAACTGAGATACTTTCATGACTGTTTGAAGGACCATTTTACTTTTTTTCTTTTTTTTTTTTTCATTCTAAAATGACAATACTGGGACATATACAATTAATCCATTCCTGTATCAAGAACTCCAAGGTGACAAACAAACACAGAAGATACAACATCAAGTGATACTAAATGACTAAGCACAATGGATTTCTGCAAAAGCTGATGTCTAACATGGCATGTAGGTATACTTTCATGATTTGATGTCCTCAAACCTATCCTAGGATCACTCCATAGGTATGCCACAGACTGAAGAAAATTCCTGAAGCCCCAAAGCAGAACGCTTCAACCAGGCTCTTCCCTCCAGCACATTCCCAGGATAACTGGACCCTGCAGGTCAGCTCTGAGCCATTCCCAAGATATACACAACGCTCACAAAAGCCAAACCAAGATTTTTCTCCCTGTGTGTTTAGCACTTAGCTTCTTATATTAGTTTAGTGGTTAGAGTACTTACAGCTAGCATGGAAGATCATGTTTCAGGCCCTTAAAATGGAATTTAACCCAGTGGTCTGTAATTCTGTATAACACAGGCTGCTGGGTAAATCTCTATTAAGTAAACTGTTTAAATAACTTCATATACTTTAGTATAAATAACTACACAACCGTTAAAGCAAAGAAATGAACCACACTCAGTGACAATGCAGCTGAGTGAGAGAGGAAGTAATTCTCTCTCTGACTTGATAAATATTTGGTTACAAGAGACTGGAAGAGGCCTCTCACAGAGCATGCAGGAATCCAGTAACGGGAACATTCCCCTGGGATGTGTGTCACTTCATGACTAAGCAGCATGCGCTTGTTCTAGCTAACGACTGGCATTACCTCTTCAATGACTCTCCGGATTTAAAGATCACATCTTTTAAATAAAGAAAAGTTTTCACAGTGTGGTAGGGAAAGAACTCCAGAAGAGAACGATGACAGAGGAGGATTACAACCTTAAGTATTACACAGGACTTGAACAGTCCTTATCATACTGGAAATCACAGCTGTTCCCTCCTGATTGCACAGCCAGCTCAAATATAGTGACTTGGAAAATCAGCAATCCTTCCAAAAGAGTTTTTTAATGCAAGGGCAAGACTAAATACCTACTTACTGGTGGAGGGACTCAACGGTTCAAATTGAAACTGAAAAAAAATATGTAGTGACTGATTAAAAGGAACATGTTTCTTAATAGTCACCAAGATACAAATGTGAAACTGAATCCTTGACAGAGAGGGGGTGGAGGTGAAATCTTCAAAAATAAAACTCACTAGAATCCGACAGTGTTTGAATTTGAGCAGAGGAAACTAGCAAAGATGGTCTAAAAACACAAAAGTTTTCCTTTCTCCTGCCATGTTGGAGATAAACTCTTGAAACAATTAATTCTTCCTCTGGAAAATATCAAAATCAGTTTCACCCAAGTTTAGTTCTTCTAAATCATGGTGTTTTCAGTATGATCTCTAGGTCACAGATCAAGGAGAAAATGATGTACCACATAAAGGCATGTTTGACCCAGACCTTTTGATCACTGATTTTTATCAAATGACCTGTGGGTGAATTTGATCACAAGGCATCTGAAATGGCACTAGCACAATGTAAACAACTTTCTGTAAACAAACACACGCAGATACAAATAAACATGAGGGGTAGGGGGAATACTAGCAGGTTAGAGGTATTTTTAATTTGGTTGTAAAGGACCCATCCATTCCAGCATTACACAAAAGCTCTGTCCCACCACGGTGAGATCTGACATGACTCAGCGTTCCCTGGGCTGTTCCTTCCATGTGGGACAGCCAGGCAGGAGCTGCTGTACACACTGTTCAGTTTCCCACTTGGCATGAATGAAGAAACAAGACGGACGTAGAGTGCAAGCATATCATCGTGTGTATTCATTCCTTAAAGTAAACTCAGCCCAAGCCTTCCTTGGACAGAATCAGGGTTAGGGATTATGCCAGGGCTGACTGCCCAGTCAAATAAATAACATTTACAAAGCTCGACTTTGCACTTCAATGAGTGCAGAGATGACCAGAACTAAGAACTCAGGTCCCAAAATACTTCTAAAATTGCATAATCACTCTTTCTAACGGGATAACTAGACCTAACTGAAACTTTCTTCATTTAATCCACTGTTTTGAAAGCAAACAATACTGGCACCAAAGAAGAAATATTACTGATCCAGTGTTTAATTCCTGTAGCAGGGCAGCTCCACCTCAGGATCCTGGCTGAATTATGACACTTACCAGGCTGTTGCAGTAACACGGTATGTGGTTGCTTTTAGCTTATCAAAAGGAGTCAGAATGATTTAGCTTAAACCTTTTTCCTGGAGGTTCATGCTAACACATTTTACCTTACACTTCCTATAGTCCAACAGCTCATATGCAGTGGCAGTTACCACAACACAGCTGACACACAGGAACTCTGAGCAAAGAAATTCAAATGCGTTGCCTTTGCTCAGATCTCTGAACTCTGGTGTCTTACAAAGAATGCTTCTCAGAAGAGTTAATACAATTTTAATATTTTCACTAAAAATATTCTTTTTTTTAATCCTCTCCTCCTCCCTCCTTTTTTTTTTTTTTTTTAATTGAAATGGTGAAATAAAATTTCATAAAGGAAGTACTCATCCATTGCAAATTGTTGCATGGTCATTATAGCCTTATCCTAATGCTTTAGCATTGAGTTTATACATCTGTGCCTGTGAAGGCATTCTGTTAATTATGGGAAAAGGGAGTGATTCTCAACAGACCTGAACTTTGGCAGCTAATTCACTATTTTACTAGCATATATTGAAAGGACTTCTTTTATAATTTAGCTTCAGCAGTATCTCAGTACTATCACTGAGAAGTGAAGTCGCAGAGCAAGGGAAGGCTTCAACCAATGTCAAGGTCTTCCCACATGCAAGAACCTAACTCTTCTGCTTCAAAGCCTAAAAATTTTAAGCAATAATTTCACTGATATCAAAGATGACCTCATGATAAAATACCATCAGATTGGGAACAGGTCCAAAGCGTTCCTCAGAACTCATTAGACAGGACATATATGTCACTTCTCAGTAAGGCACTAAGAAAGAACATGCAGTACCCAGAACATGCAGTACCCAAATATAGGCTCCGTAACATTGACTTTTGGATTCAACTTCCCCATTAGCATCTCCATCTTCCTTTCTTAAAGGAGGATCACCACTTGCCCATGGTTACATGGCAAATGAGAACTCACAATGAACCACTGTATCACATTTCCACATTCACCATTCAACCACAGTTCACATTCCACAAATGCACCCAGACTAGAAGTGCCCAAAAGTTGCTGTGGAAGATAACATGACTTTTGCTTGTCTAAAAATCAAGATTATTGGTGCCCTTAAGAGCTGCAGAATCAAAGATTGCTGCAACTCTTCAACAAGAGAAGATTGCTGCAACTCTTCAATGCCCTTAAGAGCTGCAGAATCAAAGATTGCTGCAACTCTTCAACAATATCGAAGGCTGAGCTCCCGGGTCTGGGATGACAGCCCTGCACTTCAAGGGTTGGTCAATCTCAGCAGCTCTGAGATTGACCAAAAATTGTCTCACCATGGCTGTTCTCTAAGGTGTCCAAACATTTTTTCTGGGAAGACAGCAGCTCATAATTCAAAATTAATGTTCTAATGCATGCTCCATTTTGGAGAGTGCTAAATTCTCCAGAAGAATGATGATAGAAATCTGCCAAACAGATTTCTATGTTGAAGAAAAAACCAAAAATCTTTACAAAATATATATAATTTTGTATCTACCACTTTTTTTTACTCCAGTGCATACAACCATATTTAAAGACACAGACATGCTATAAATATTAGACTCTCTGGGGGCAAAAGGAAATTCCAAGACATAAGGTTACATCACTTCCAATCATGAGTGAAGAAATGCTAATTAACGAAATGTTCTCCCTGAACAGACAGCTTTCAAGGGTCCTATTTTCATACCCATAAATCAGATTTTGTTAGAAAGCAAACTGACAGGTGACAGTTGCAGCAAAATCCAACAATAGGGTTTTTTTCCCAAAATACATTCTTCCAAAGTCTGTGCAATGCCAGATGCTGGTCTCCTATTTTTCATTAAAACCAAATCACTCGGTACCCTCTAATAATTTTGGTGCAGAACACGAAGAACTAAATTAAAGCTGAACAGAAATGTAAGCTTTCAGGATCTAAAGGACAAGTTGAGGTTATCACTTCAGATGCTTTAAAAGATGAATGTACAACTTAACCTGAACCAAACCTCAAAGTCACTGAAAGCCAAGGGAAGATAAAAAGAAAAATAAAAAGGCTTCAGTAATTACTTAGCACTGATATTGGAATAGTAGAGAAACAATGTGTACTTAGCTTAGAAGAAGCCTCCATAGCCCTGATTAAATAACCTGAAAATTAAAAAATCCTCAACAGTAAGTCCCCGAACTATGAAATATATTATTACTTTACACTCTAGCTCATTCTTTTCATGTTACAGGCTAAATAGCAGTAACAACTGTGTTTTTATAACATAGATATTCTTCAAATAAATACTAGCAAGAGGGAAGTCATAGCACGGGAAGAAATAGTAAGGAGGGCAGGGAAGGGGGAAAAAAGAGGAAAAATTATTTTTCCACCATACCACTAACCTAGAGACCTACAGAGCAATATAAACATGGGGTGGGAAATGAAGAGATGCAATTTCTTTTCTAAATCCATTGAATTCACCCCAATAATCTGTATGGACTCACATCCATCTCTGCAGACTTCTACTACTTCAAAATAGCATAATATTTCCTAAAAGGAGAACTACCCAAGCTACTCATGAAAGGCCAGAGAATTCTGAGGCCTCACAAGCCTATTATTCACAGTAACAGCTAGGAAAACTTGTAAAGTACAACTGAAGATTTAAGTAGCACATGGGAATCCTTGCCAAAACTCCCTTCCTATCAGCTCACTGCCTCCCACTCCTTTCTCCTGCTGCAGTCTTTACATCTGCACTGGGTTTATAGATGATCATTCCACAGATGATTAAAAATGACTTTGAGATTAGGTACCACCAGCAGCATGATCAAAACATCTGATCTGATGTTTTTGGCCCAACAAAGGCTCTGCCAGCAAGAGCTGCTCTAATCTCTTTACCTGGCTCAGGGGATTAGTTAATTAGTTAACTAACAAATCTGTTGGTGGAACAGTAATGGCAAAGAACTATTTCAAACTGCTCATTAGACGTGAGCTCATGAGCTCGGGATGGTTGTGGCTGTAAGGTGGCATTACATCATTCCCCCTCAGTGTTGGCACTGGGGCTTTGGGTACACGTTAGGCAGACAATACCTGCCTCACTAGAATTCAGATATGTAAGTCATCCTAGTTCAGCTCTCCTGATATACCAATCAAAGAAGCCACAGATCAGCTAAGAATTAGCTTTTTTTTTTTTTTTTTTTTTTTTTTTGTCTAGAGCATCTGACTCAGAGCAGGACCAGTTAGCACAATCACAAAAAGAAGTTCAAATCTTGTCTCTACAGCAGGTTCTCCATTCACTACCACTTGCAGAACCATTTCATTAAACCATAACTCAGTCATATTAGAGCAGGTACACCAGCAGAGAGGTCACTGACCCACAAGTAGAAAGAAACAGTGAACTCAGAGTCACTTGCATACTCACATTACCTGACCATCTAAACTAAACCCCCATGCTCATTTCCTAGAAGAAGTAAAAACTACCCACAAACTCTCTGAGGCATCCAAATAACA